TATACTCAGTCAGAAAATCTGTTTTTAATCTCTTTTTCTTTAATCAGTTTAATGTTTACATTAGTTAACTAGTAAGCTTGTTGTCTGATATCTTCCTTATATGGTTACATAGGTAGGATATCTAAGTAGGCGTATAGTGGCAGTCTATCTTCGTTTCGTTTTGTTGGGTTTGTTTTTAGTTTGTTTGTAGTTTTTGTTTGTTTGTTTTTGTCAATGGTAACATTTTGTTATGTATATTTTTTGTTTGATTTTTTGTTACCTTTTTTGTCACTTGTAACATGTATGTCCACCTAATATTCAAGTCTATTACTCTTAGCATGTTTCTATAGACCATAAATCTTAGACCACATTCAATCCTAATGGATAAAGGGAAACGCAACGATATCACGGGTGAAGCCAGCCTAAAATCCTGTACAGCTGGTTTTACAATTTGTCTTTCGCCTGTTTGACTCTTAAAACATAACTCTTGCAAATTTTGAAACAAAATTTGAAGTTTCTAATGGTACAGGCTTGCAACAAGTCGAAAAGCTGGCTACGCTCCCAATATAATAAGACATTTCAGTCTGCATGCTGATCTATCCATTGAAGTTATTCCCTATTATCAGTAATACTATAGCTGAGTAAATGTTTTGGTTAGAAACGCTCCACCGGTTTTAGAACTAATGTTTGGCTCATTACCATGGTAATTTTTTAGCTTGTTCAGAGCATGTTCTCAGTTTAAAAGGGATTCGATGACCTGATTACTTTTCTTCCACACTTCTATCTCAGTTTTTCCCAATACTGCGATTTCATAATAGGACATGAATCATGATAGCTGACCGAAGCAAATGTTTAATTAGCGTTTAAATTAACTTTCGAAAGTTCAGTTTCAATGATATCTCTAGTTTAGAAAACAGACAAGCAAATATTGAACAAACACCTAGAATATAATTGGGGGATATCCATTAAATCAATTATCAGAGATTTTAGCGCCAGTATAACAATGATCTAAAAGCTCATTTTAAGAATGTTTTTTTTACTCGTTTGAGAGAATCACTGGCCCTATAATTGCTTTTCATTGTAAAGGAAAAGGAAAAAGCATCTATGACAATAACAACTCAGACACATGTACGGGTCAAGACTATCTCAGAAGTTTACTTCTCTCTTTTCCGAATTTTTCTGCTTGATACCAAATTTAGATCAATACATGTAATATTGAAAAGAACAAAAAGGGTTAATAATGCGATCACAATAGTAGAACATCAACGCGCTTTAATAAGAGAGAGTGGTTATTGATTAGTCCTTAGGAGGTTAAGGCGCTATCTTAATATTATCGAATATTCAGGTTATGTGCTGTCCCTTGTGATCCACCCACAATTCTCGCTCACTTTGCAATATTACAAGTATTCAAATGAACATAATTCAATAAGTTCAATTTCATTTTCAATCGTACTCATGCAGGTCAAGAAGGTGAAAGTAAACCTGAACACAAAAGACCAACTGAAGAAGGTAAAGACAATGATTTGCGAGTTTTAGAAACACATTTTAATACGCTGTATAACATGTGTTATGAGCTTCACAAGTAATTGGGTCAATTTGCTGGCTTAATAGCAGGCCATGGGCCGGGTTTGTTCTGCAGACCACTTATTCACATTCATTTGCCAGCGCACAGAAAAACCGTGACTGTAATTATGCAAAATTGTAATTGTAAACTTTCCTTTCACACAGCTGGTGAGTCTGAGGAGCAAGTAACAAGAGAAGAGATCCCAGTGCCTAGTGACAAAGGTAAAAGTGATTGCGGTTTTGATTAGGTATTTAAGATATTAAAACATTTTGTGAGTTCTTGAAGCATCTTTTTTGACTTGATAATCACCGGGTAAATTCTGGTGGAAAAATTGGTCAAAGGTCTAATAATTATTTAAGAAACTTAAATAGAGACAATATTGAACGATTGAGTCCTAAAGTAACTTTTTTCTATTACATCATTTCTGAAGATGAAGAAGAAGAGAATGCACCTGAGCCTAACATGGACTTCGCAGAGAAAGGTAACTCTCCTTATAAGTTAACCGCCATGTACTAATTGTGGTCTACACAATGCTTCATAAGGTGACGTACAATAAAAAAAAGACTGCTAGGTGGCTATTGGGCTGCACTGAGGAGTTCTCTCGTTCCATATGGTTATAAGTTCATACTTGCGTGTGGTCCTTCATTTACTAACCAGCTTACTGATTGACAATCTGGTCAACTGACTAACTGGCTAGCTGACCAATAAGCTGTGAGATTAAATTAACTAGCTGAGCTGTAGCTGAGTGACAAAGGCTGACTATCTGGCAGATTGTCCGCCTGACCAGTGGGCATGGTTATAGACTAACTGATTTATATTATGGCTTCCTGGACAAGGTGCTTCATTATACCGATTAACGGACTGCCGGCTCGGTAGATTAAGCAACCAACTGGTTTTGTTTTCAATAATTAATGTGCTTTTTCCCTTTGTCTCAGACATTTAACAAGAGCCAAAAGCATTACCATTAGTATGGACACCTCGAGGGCTACAGAATAATTAAAAGATTCAAGGAAAAGGAAAAATAGTTCTTGAGTAGGAATCTATATGTACTGTCTGTGGCAATATCTCAGTCAGAAAATCTGTTTTTAATTTCTTTTTCTTTGATCAGTTTAATGTTTACATTAGTTAACTAGTAAGCTTGTTGTCTGATATCTTCCTTATATGGTTACATAGGTAGGATATCTAAGTAGACGTATAGTGGCAGTCTATCTTCGTTTCCTATTGTTGTGTTTGTTTTTTGTTTGTTTGTATTTTGTGTTTGTTTGTTTTTTTCAATTGTAACATTTTGTTATGTATATTTTTTGTTTGATTTTTTGTTACGTTTTTTGTCACTTGTAACATGTATGTCCACCTAATATTCAAGTCTATTACTCTTCGCATGTTTCTATAGACCATAGTTCTTAGACCACATTCAAACCTAATGGATAAAGGGAAACACAACGATATCACCGGTGAAGCCAGCCTGAAATCCTGTACAGCTGGTTATACAATTTGTCTTTCGCCTCTTTGACTCTTAAAACATAACTCTTGTAAATTTTGAAACAAAATTTGAAATTTCTCATGGTACAGGCCTGCAACAAGTCGAAAAGGTGGCTACGCTCCCAGTATAATAAGACATTTCAGTCTGCATGCTGATCTATCCATTGAAGTTATTCCCTATTATCAGTAATAATATAGCTGAGTAAATATATTGGTTAGAAATGCTCCACCGGTTTTAGACCTAATGTTTGGCTCATTACCATGGTAATTTTTTAGCTTGTTCAGAGCTTGTTCTCAGTTTAAAAGGGACTCGATGACCTGATTACTTTCCTTCCACACTTCTATCTCAGTTTTTCCCAAAACTGCGATTTCATAATAGGACATGAATCATGATAGCTGACCGATGCAAGTGTTTAATTAACGCTTAAATTAACTTTCGAAAGTTCAGTTTCAATGGTGTCTCTAATTTAGAAAACAGGCAAGCAAATATTGAACAAACACCTAGAATTTAATTGGGGGAAATCCGTTAAATCAATTATCA